TATAATGCGTCCGCCAGTCGGCCGCTTCCAGCAGCCGAATGAATTATTCAGCCGCTCAACAGGGCCGCGGGCACCGTGATTTAATGCCGCGCCGGCGGCGCTGGCTGCGCGGCCGACTGCCACCGGTGTGTCGCATTAATTTGTCATAGGCGCGCAGATTATTGGAAGTTGGCGCGACCGACGCGACCGACCGCGTTCGCGCGTCGGCGCCGTCGATCTGCGGCCGCCGCGCCGTCGCGCCGCCGAGAGGGGTGTGGGGTGGGCAGCGGCGGCACGACAGCGGCGCGAGATATTCACATGGGGAGGGAGACCTGGGGGGGGGGGGGGGGGGGGGAGAGGCTAACGGCGCTCCGCCGGGCGGTTTGCGGGTGTCTGATGTGGAAATATGAGCCCTGGCACGACGCAGCCATGTGAACGGTTTCCAATCAAATCGAAGCTCGGTGAGATTTATGACTTGGTAATGACGTGACGGCTAATAACTGACGAGATTGGGTTGATAATTATGGCTTATGACCCTGCCATCATTAAGAAGATTGCAGCGTGGCAGCAAGAGCACGGGTACCTGAAATGCGACGGGTCATATTTGTTTACTGAGACTAGCCAAAAACGTATGATATGCCCAGGCACGGCTAAACCCCGGTTATCTTTGATCACGGCTCAGATGTGCAGTGCAGTCGGCCTCGATACTCCTGTTTTACATTCGGCGGGATTCATAGCCAGGTTGAATAAAATACATAGTTGCTACAATAAAGACGGCAATTAAGCGAGAAAAAAAAACTGGGCAAAACAGGCAAACCAGTCCTCCGGTATATTCTTTCGGGATGGGCGTAAATTGAGCTTCCTTCCCCAAATACGGTGTTGAATCCCCCACTCAGCCCATTATATGTAGGGTATATTATTTTGGTGAAAAACAGAGCATGTGAGACCCGCTGTTGTTAAAAGGATTTCTCGATCTACCATGGGTTGTCCACATGTGTTCTTCCCAGTAAGGCCAATGCAGCAATTGTACCAAAAACAGCGTTTACAATGACAAAGCTCGAATAAATGGAATGTTACCAAGTTTCCACTTCATCTTTGGCCTTCGTCAGTGTAACGAGGGAACTCCCGGCCCAACGCAAGGTACCAAATGCTTTACGAACGCATGCCGCAACTTTCCATCTAACTAACCCAGTGACGAGTATTCGACAGGAATAATCCCCACAGGACATTCAATAGGGTATTGTTCAGCCTGATTGTCACACGTCATTATTGAGCTTGAGATGGTGAGATAGAAGACATTCAAATACGATAGACACACAGAAAAAAAGACATTCAAACAACAGCGATTCTAGGAGATTGCGCACCACGCTCAAGTAGTTCCGGACAGAAATAAGGCATGTCTCTCACGAGCATGGTACGCGGGGAACTCCAAATGAATGTCATCAGGCGGCATTGTTACGAGTGAAGCCGCAGGCCCCACGAGTCTTAACGCCAACCGGAAAACTTCAGCTCCAGCGGCCCGGCCCGGCCCGGACCGGCTCGACGCATACCGGCTTGTCGCGCCTGTGACTGGTTTGCAAATTCGCAGTTGTAAAAATGTTGCTATTCTCAATAAGCAATGTAGTGATGTCCAGACATTTGCATGCAAGTTGTTGGGTCAAACTACATTTGCATGAAGTTCCGCCATGTTGTCATCATTTCACCTCTCCACACCATTGGCAAGAGCAAGCGCAAAGTTCTCAAACTGCAAAAAGTGAGAACGCATGTTGGGACCGCGTTCGGATCTCACGTCTCACCACACGCTGCAGCAATGTGAGCCCAACGCATTTTGACGGCGGGAGAAGTGCACGATCGCATCGGCAAGTCTGGGTCGATGTGTGCAAACTGGCAAGTGCGACCACACGCATAGTACGGGTCCCGCCCTTTCCTGCCCTTTCAACAACTCATGTCAGGCCTCATCAACTGGATCAGGCGAAGACGCGGAACCAGCTGCGCGGTGCGGCAGGTGTACGTCTAGAAGTCAGCAAGTGATGTTTCAGCAATGTCCGAACGGTGGACGTGTCAGCAGTAAACCGGAGGGCGACCAATCAAACCACGCGCTAAGAAAACCACCCCGAAAACAAGGTGATGAGGCCTATAGCGAAAGACCGTGAAAGCCAAGCAGGTATGCGCCCTGTTCACTGTGACCATTTCGTGCCAAGCATATTTTCATTATTCGCAGCACTTCGGTCACGATTGCTAAAACGCGGCTCACTGCAACAGTATCGACTCAGCTTACAATTGTCAAGTCTCCCCAGGCCTGAAGTCAGTTAATATTCGAATATTATTTTGAAATGTCAGCGAGGTTTCACATCTCTACACTTTTGCCTGCTTAGCACATGAAAAATAAAGGGAGATATTTCAGCGTATTAATGGGCTCATTCGTGAGGCTTCCTAAAGTCACCCGTCTCTGTTCACTTACGTTTTGGCATTATCTGTGAGGTCAGCGGTGACCACACCCAAGTCTGTTGTGACCCCACTCGTCACACACCGTGAGAGACGTGTTACCGCTAAACAGCAAACAAATCAGGTACGCCACTGCAGCTCATTCCGAGAAGACGCCAGGCGTCTTCTCGGAGTGAGCTGCTCGGAGTGAAGAGCAGGCCCTGCTCTTCACGATCGACGGTGCTACTTCCGTTATATGGTATTAAAGTGACTGAGTGAAACTCGCTTGTCTAATTTATGACGCATACATTTGATCTACGGTTACGTCGACAATAATTATATGGCCTTTCACTGAACCACCAGGACCCTCGAAAACGATATTAACAGCTGGGGTCGGTTCCAGCCGACTGGCTGAGATTTCGACAAGTTTATGACAGTGCCATGACTCCGCGACGCATTAGCTAGCTGTTGCATGCGTTCGTCGAGTAGACAGGAAATCGGAACTTCAGTTTCTAGTGTCCTTTCCGTACCATCCTCAAGTATTTCATGCCTGTAGCTGGCCAAAAACAAAGTTGTCCATTCGCCACCACTTCACATAATTTGACAAATTGCATGGACGCCTCAGGTTTGTTGAACAGTTCAACGCATTCGTGTTCCACTGGAACCTTCTACTCTGGTTACAGCAATGGCAGCTTTCAAGCCAATGAGCAGCATTATGCAATCAACTTGGGATGTAAGCTGCGAGAACGTTGTTTTGAAGCGCGCAACTAATACACTTGACACCATACGAGGAAAGCTTCCATCGTGCTGAGTAACTCCCTGAGATTACTGCAAAGAATGAAAACAGCAACAGGCTATCTCTGAAATACGCAAGGGGCTTGGGATGGATTGGTAAAAAGCTGTCCATCACCATAAGCTAACTACCCAAAACATCCATCTTTTGCACCACGACTAAGGCTTAATGTTGGAAGTGGTAGCCCGAAATCACCTCAGACCGTTGTGCATCAAACACCGCGTGGATATTCACCGCGAAGGCTGGGCTCCCGAGTCTTGAGCGCCCCGCCTTCAAAACACGGCGGCGGCATTCCGGACAGGCTCGTCTGGCGGCGTCCCGCGCCGCAGCCACCTCCACCTCCTCCAGCGCCGGAGCCACCTCCACGCGCTGCGCTAAGTCGTGCCCGGGGCGCGATTGAGCGCAAAGTGAAACAGACGACGGCGCGCGTGAGGGCGGAGCCTGTCTCGCGCCTGCTGCCCTCGGTGGCTGACGCGTGAGGTTTATGATCTCATCCGAACATTAGGGATCGGAGAACAATGTGTTTGGATTCCGAGACCGTAAAAGACAGGTAACCCCAATAAAACCTGTGACCATATATGGGCTCGGTCGCTTTTTCAGTCGCAGAGTGCTGTCCGTTTGTCGGTAAATCTGACGCGGCGTGGGAACGAAAAATGACGCGGCGACCGAACGTGCGCGTGCCTTCCCCAAGCCCCTCGAGGGCTTTCGGTCACGCCGGGGTTATGGGAGAGTGATGACCCCGACTAGGGGAGTGATTGCAGCCCACTGAGGGATTTTCACAGAGCTCACACGCACACAGCGTGTCCGCGGAATGCAGAGGCGGGTAAATGCCGGCTGTCACAGGCAGCCATCAGGCGTCATCTACGCTAAGCCGGTGTGGAGTAATGTTATGGGCCCGGTAACCAACGGAGTTCACTATGCAACAAGGAATGGAGAAGCATGGCTTTACAGGACCTACATGCAGTTTTACGAGTCACTGATAGTGTCCGGTGGTGAACAGCACAGCTGGGTATTACTCGAATTCGGACAATTGAAGGGCCTCACTCATTGTGCGTGCTCCAGAAGCGTCTTTCATGTTGCATTGCCATTCACCTAACAGTGAAAAACGTCCGAAAAGTCAACAGTACACACGCAAAGCACGACCGGACGTAATCGCCATTTCGGCTCCCGGACTGCATCTGAGTGCAAACCAGCGCGCATTATAAGGCATGAAACGAAACACCCGAGTGCATCCAGCTCACTACGTGCGTTATTTCAGTGAGCATTCCCGCCATCTTACAGGAGAAATCGGCTTAGGTTTAAGATTACGGATACGCGGAAATGGTAATTGCATTATCACCTCAAGTGTACTTCGAAGCGACTTAAACGCCCACTTGCCTCATATGCTCCATAACAAGTCATTAACATTGTCCGCGCCTGGCAATCCGCCAGCACTGGGAATCATCACATCTGAACGAAATGCATGCATCCTTTTGCAGCATTCCAGTTTGGTAGCAAGCTAATGCCGCTGCACAAACTTTTGATAAGTTAAATAACCAGCTAGTGAAATAGCCAGCGGGAATTGTAATCGCCACTGATGTTATCGCAGTGCCACGGACAACGAATGAGAGAGAGGCACGCAGACCGTACGGGATAGGCAGAGATTAATTAAACACCGACCCAGCACTGCCCCACAGACCGCCAAGGCACCGAGTTCCAAACCACGCCGATGCAATTTTAGCCGTAAGGACGGTGTGAGAAGATATCACGGTTACCCAAAGTCTATCGTTCAGCACGCGCAAGACGGCACCCCGAGGTGACTCACCGTTCCGTGTGGTGACACACGAGATGAGATGCCGGTGTTGACGCGCTCTGAAGAAGCTCGCTCCACGCAGCCGCGAGCTCACGGACCCGCGTGGGCCTTTCGTGTTCTCCGCACCACAGCTGTACAGACTGCAGGCCCTCAGCAACGACACCACCTGTCTGGCGCCACGGGCTCGCGCCCCGTCCCCGCCGCTCGTCTTCCAACTGCGCGCTCGTGCTCTCGCGCAACACCGGCGCACCACCTCCTGCGCGTGCAATCAACGGGAGCCGCAGTTTGTCTCCACGCCGCCGTCCGTGCCAGCTCGCGGGACGCTCACCGGCGGCTCGCCACTCAGCAGCAGAGCACACCGTTCTCACCAGCGCACCGTGCTCCACACTCGGACAGCTCGCGCGTGCCTCCCGCCTCCTCCGGACGCCCGGCCGGCACTGCGGCGCCGCGGACTGGGCTGGTCCGCGGGGTTCGCCGCCGGCCGGGCCGACTGCTACCGGCCGGCGCGCGGCGGCCGGCCACGGCAGAGGAGGAAAGAGGGGAAGCTGGGCCGGCGGCTGGGAGGCTGCAGGGGCAGAGACCATGCGGTCTGAGGCGACGGCTGGGACAGAGCGCAGACATGAGTCAGACAGGACACAGGTCAGGCACAAATCAGACACAGGTATAGCAGGCCGACAGGGGCAGAGGGCAGACGCAAGGCCCGGCAAACGGTGCGGGTGGACGCAGAGGCCAGTCACGAAGCGGACAGACGGCAGCGTGAAAACGAGAACTGTTGGCTGCCAAAGGAGACGGCGTGAACAGCGGCAGGTTGCAGCCACAACTCGAACGGATTATGGGAGAGTAGGGCAAGCACATAACTGACTGAAAAGGGCGATATCCGTTAGCGCTCTCTGTGGACAGGCTGGCCAGGGCTTACCGTCAACATGTCAGCCGCTGGGGCAAAGGGCTGTCTCCTGGTGGGTTGGTCGTTCGCAAATCTGACGGCGCGGTGGCCAGCCGAACGGCAATGATAAATGAAGGTCGGTTCGGTCTCCAGGCCCAACGACTGTGATCATTAGGACTGCTGGGTAGAGATCTGCCCGGGGGTTGAGAGTTCCAGCTGGGCCTCGAACTCCGGAGCTGCTGGCTAGTCTTGTCTGCCGAGGGTCAGAGATGAACCCTACAGCGGCTCGGAATCAAAACACTAATTGCTAGCCCTGATAGGACCTTCCTGTAGAGTAGATTGAGATCAACGATCTGTTTCGGCCTCCAGAATCCTATTTCATCGCCCTCTTCTTATCCATGATTCATTGTCTCTTTTGTCCATCATCATCACTGGCTTATGAGGCCATCCTAGCTTTATAAATCGACTGCTGGTTGGTGGCGGTCGCGTATTCGCTCCACTAACCTGGGACAGGAGGCCCCGGAGTTTCCTGGAGCATACCAAACATCGATCAAACGGCGGAGGCGGAGTGTGAAAAAATATGCAGTGCAACACCTCCTGGCATGTTATCTCCGTCATCTATTTCGTAAAAGTACGAATGGAGGTTGGAATTCATTCCATCATTTTTGCTCCAGATAAAAAGAATCAAAGCAAAACACTGTAGAGGAATATGTCTGGGCTGCAGGTTGGAAATAGGAGTGTTTTAGCGTGTAGCGCTACGGCTCTTGGGAAAGTTTCCCGTTTTCATCGTTGCCCATTATCACTTGTCTCACAAGATGTTCTGCGAAACCTTCGTGCCATATTTACATCGCAGCAGAAGTCGCTAATCCCTGCCGAGCATTCAGACCGGCGAGCGCGCTCAAAACCAGACCTGCTTCTGAAGCGCACGTGTCGCCTGCGTTCGCACCTGCTCCCCCCCCCCCCTCCTCCTAGGTGATGGGCCGGAGCCAGCGAGCCCTCGGGGCTGCCTGGTGATCGGACGCTGACACCGCGGCCATCTCATGGAGTGCCAATCAGGGCAGCGAGATCTGCTCAGTAGCCCGGACACGACGGCCGTGCCGTCATGGGCTCGAAATTGGACTGCAAGTGCAATGGGTCGGTGCGGAGTTCACGTCCCCAGACTATATCTGATGACATTGTTGCATTTGCCGGGTGTTGTTTGCTGGTGCCTGATGCTTCTGAGACAACCTGCACACAGCTGAAGCTATCACAAAGCAATGTCTGATGTCAAACGTTCATTCAGGAGCAGAACAAAAACTGCGCTGAACGGCTATTTGTCATTGATCGTGGCGCCGTGTAGTGAAACAATCGCCGTGATTGAACGGCAAGACGCCTCAGATATGAGCGAGAGTGTCAATTGGTCAGCTTTCTCATACCTGTGGCTGTTTGTCTAACCCGATCAGACCTACTTCCAGAGCCGTCCAAACGCAGCCACGAAGTCAAACGGAAGGCCGGCTGGGCGGCCTCGTCGCCCAACTTCAGCTTCTCTGTCTTCGAGCCATCAGGCCCGATTCCCGATAACTTTGGCATAAAAACTGGTTCACGCTTGCTCGCCGCAGAAGAACAGACCTGGTTCGGTCGAGTTCGACCCGCTCTTCCGCCTGTGCCGGCCGCATTCCGTCCGCCAGATTCGAACGTTCGGCGCCTTATCTCCAGTTGGACGGTTCGTTCTTTGTATGCTTCATTATAACTGTATTTGCAGAACAAGGCTTTGATTTACCTGCCTCTTATCTGTTGGACGCTCTCTTTGTTTCCTTGAGCGTTCATCTGCGGGATGTTCGCCCCATGGGTATCGTAATGCGATAGGTCAGCCCGGGAAGTCCACCTTAAACATGGCCTACCGTCAGACGTGAAAAATGATTCTGTATTCTTGTAAAGAACGACCCGAATCGATTCCTCCGAAACCCCATCACCTCTTCATAGCGAGGACTCTTCTCGATTCTCTCCCGGGTCGCGCTGATCTCTGGCCATTACGTCCCTTCCTTTCTCTGTAAGCCGCCTTACGCCCTTTGTTGTCGGCTCTACCTGGCTCCGATGATCTGCGCCTGACCCTCTCGCTCTCGCTGCCTCCGGGTGCCGGGCGCCACTGGTTACCGGTGCCACCCTGGGGTCAGCTTGTGGCCGGCGTAATTTGTCACGGTTTCACGCGCTGCCCGCCGATTGCCGCGGCAGACAAAAGAAGCCCTTCCGGTGCGATAATTGTCCGTTCAATACAGGCGATTTTCGCGAGACACGGTCTTCTTGGCGCCTCATCCTGTGTCATATTTCCTAACAACTGGTGATCGATTGAGGTGTGATAACTCGGGAGCTGATCGTTTATTCATTTCATGGGCACTTATCCTGACAAAAAGAATCACGAAGCGCTGATGATCCACGTAGATAAATAAAACACCCCCGTTTGGCACCTTCGACGTTTTATTGATGGCCAGTATCTCGTAATGCATGGCAGAGATCAGCAAATCCATTGCGAACCACAGATCGCTCATTTTTGGAAATAACGCTGCGTCACTGCGCCCCGGTAACGACTTAAATCAATCAAAATGTATTTCGGTGGCTCCGCTCCAAACTTGGAACTGCGTGTCAGTACCACAATTTCCCAATCGGTGTCCGTACACATGAATTATGTACGTCTAATATGACTTACACAATACAAAGCGTCTGAATATATACAGGATCCCCACAGCATTTCGCCACCTTTTCTTTGCTGAAGCTGCTCAGAGCTGTTTGCCAGCTGTCAGGTAGCGAAATGCGCCTCCCTAAAACCCATGGTAATATAGCCGGAACACACCTTGTATCACTCACGCTTGCTTACACCCGAAGCACCCACCCCACCTTGCTTCTCCGAGCGCAAAATGACACCAGCATTGAGCGCGCCGTTAAGCACCATTAACTAGCCAACTAACCTCGCTTCCCCCCTGCCCCCGTCACCATGCTCTCACTCAACCTCCAGCCACGAAGACGGCGACGGCGGCGGCGGGTCGACCGGGGAGACGGGCTGGCAGGGCCGGTGGGTTCCGGCCGGCCAGTGGCGGCGGCAGGGTTGTTGTTGTCGGCGCGCGGCCCGCTGGCCGGCGGTGACGCGCCGGCACCCCGCCGCCGGCCCGGCCCGCTTGTTTTCGCACCGTCTCATTAGGACGGACAAATCATGGGTCCGGCTAGGCCGCGCACGGGCGCGCCCAGGCGGCGCACCGGGGGGACGCCGTCACCGGCGTCGGCGGCGCCGGGGTCAGGCTAGGGCGCGGACGTGGCCGCCGGCGTCGAGCGACGCTGCGGGAGGGACGGGCCCGGCAGGTGTCATCCCCCGCGCCGCTGAGGGTCCAGTGAGAGCGGCCGGGCGAAAGCGGCGACGGCGCTGCCTGGAGGCGCTCCTGGCCCGCCACCGCCAGGTGAGCTCTAACTGCACCCTGTTACGCACCCAGGAAAGCGAACCGCCCGCGGCCGGCACTCACTACTTATTTCAAAGTCCATTGGATGGCTATCGCTTTGATTCCACGTAATTACACGGCCATCCGGCCGCCGGTATAATTGGATGCCTGCGCGCCCGATCCGGCGTGTTCTACACGCGTTTTTGGTATTTGTTTATCATTTGAATGTGAAATTAGCCGGCACTGATGCTTTGGCGATACCGCCGCGCCGGACAGCCTCCGCCGCTCTCTGAATGGCATTAGCGGCGCGCGCGGGACTAATGGTCACCGCGAGACGGCCCGGTGAGAAGTGGAGCGGGAGGGGGCGGCTGAGGGGACGCCCAAATTACCCGGCCGAGCGCGCGCCGGCGCGACACGCTGACCCTCGCGCCGGTGACCTGCGCAGATGCAGCCCAGCCGACCGCGTTAGTTATGGGAGCGTGGTGCGGTGTGGTATGCGCGCGCCCGCCGGCTCTGCACCTGTGCACTGGGCGGCAGCGCGTGCGCCGTGCAGAGGGTCACGCCGTCGCCTCCCGCTGTGTGATGATTGTCGATGTGAGGCTCCGGACCAGGACGGGGAGGAAGCCGGGTCCCAGCGTGCTGGGGAGGGATGCGCGGCTGGTGGACTTCGGGTCGTACGTGAACAATGGGCTCCGGGTATGCCAGGCTTGTTAGAAATACGGATGATTAGGAGATTGAATCAAACCATTGTCTCAGTGTCCTTACGGCACGCTCGCCTACTTCACCTTTTGGTTAGCTGATTACCGATATCTTGGAAGCGACTCACTCGAAACTCAATTCTGACCTGCACTTCACATAATTAAAAGGATTTTGACAGTCAACCGATTGTCGCCCGTATTTGGTGCAGCACGAACCGTGCCGTTCCGTGCTACGACGCCAGCAAGCCGAAGAAGCGAGCCGCCACAGCAAGTTGCCCAAGTCTGTCCCTTTCACCGAGCAATCGCCAGCTGGCGGCAGACCACAGTCCACTCCGCCACATCGGCCCAGCTGCCGAATGTCGACAGCAGCGCTGCCGGGCCCACCGCCCAGAGCCGAGGGCTTCCCAGTCGGTAGCGGCCAATGTCACGGCTCGGCG